CAGGAGCTGCCCAGGTAAGCCGACCTGGGGAAATAGAAATGACAGAACATAAACGTTTGATGCCAACTTCAGAATATATATATAATTTAAATCCACTTGGGTGCCGCAGCCGAGACTGGGGCATATTATCATTTGGCTTTGAGTACATGGGTTGATTGCGTGTGTGTGTGCGTATATTTGTGTATGTATAACCAAAGGTGCTTTTTTACATGCCTGACAAGGGTATTTAGGGACCAACATACACAGGTCGATGTGATTAAAGCCTAATGATAAGCTTGGGTGACTAATATGATAGAGAGACAGGAAAATGCTTTACATGATGCAAAAGTGGGCAACTGAAGCACTATACTTACACCTTACAAGTTCCATATGAAGCTATACCCAGGATCCCAAAGAATGAGAGAATGGAGTGAAGATAGGAAAGGGGATAACTGGGAGATATGGTTATTGAAGAGTAAGGGACCGAAAAAGGACTGTAGGTGTGCGAATCACAATTTGAGAGCAGTGTTCGTATGGGCTCGCACAGGTCGAATCATATTTTTGAGTCCAGTCGTATGACTAAATCCCCCAATATAACAAAAACAGTGACCGAAGCCAAATCACAGTCAGTTGGAGGATATGTCGCTTGTCATCTGTAGCAGAGATTAGTTGCCAAGCCGAGGGAGTAGTTGGTGGAAGGTAAGCGCTGATTTGGGCCCAGAAACCCTTGAAATTGAATCTGAAACAGGCGGTGAGGGTTCATACTTTTAAGTAAAACCTCCTGAACTGATACAGTCCTAGGAACAAGTACTGGCACTGAGACGAGTAGATAGAGGAAGTGGTCACAAGAGACTGAGTTGAGGGTTGAGGATACAGTCATAGGAGTTAGGATGAAGGGAAAAAGCCACAGCAGTTGAATGGCAAGTGACTAGAAGGATTGTCTTCAGTTGTGACTTTGATAAGCAAGAAATCTGTGCTAAGACTGCCAGCGAAACGTATGGAAATACACCAAGTCAACGGCTCGATGTTGAAAAAAATCATAAATAGTATATTCTTATTAAAAATATCATATACTGGTCGAATTAATCAATTATCCGGATAAGTTTTCGAATAAAAATGAAAATAGTATAAAATAGAAGTGATCCTTCTTTTTGATCAAGAAATTACAACAAAAAAATCTATGGTTTGAATATGGTGATATAATATTTGCGATAAAATAAGCTATTTGTGTCTTGAAGGCAATTATGAGTAGCGCAGTAGCTAGGTCGATTTACATTTAAAAGAGGTTGGCCCAGTTACATGACAGAGATCCATACAAGCTTTTGGCGAGAAGTCCCATTGAGGGTGACATGAAAGGCGAAAGCTCAGCACAGAGTCATCGGGGTTGAGAGACGATGGGCCTAGAACTCCTTTGTGAAATCCAAAGTTCTTCTCTCCAAGGCAAACCTCCTTCAGTATCTGGTGGGGCCAATGTACGACTCTCTTCAACCAACTTTGCCCTCAAGATGCGAAAACGTGTCACATTGTTGTAAAAGTTATCCATCAATTCGATTGAAATGGATGAACGTCCGGCTAATTCGCTGATCTTTATTTGCGCGTGAACCAAGATGAGCAGGGATAGCAACTATAGTGAAAACCATGACCAAAAAAAGAGCAATCGCCTCCTTTTCATAGGCGGCTCAACACCCTCTATATCCTTGAGTCTAAGCATAAGTTGTTCTTCGAAGATATGAAAACCAAGATGGTGTGGCCTTTTGTGTGGTCGCAGTCTCCTTTCGTTGTATAGAAATTGTTTGATCTTGTTTTCGCAACATGGTCATTTGGTAGGAAGACTTAGAGGAACGCACCTTGTCCGGAATCCATTGTATGCATCACCATTTCCAAAGTAGGATCGCGGACGTGGTACATTCCCAGACGTGGTACATTCCCAGACGTTTCGCCGGCATCGTCAGTGAGTCTCGCCATTCGTAGCACCATATTAC